TAAAGAAAAAGAAGAAAAAAGTATCAAGTATCTTTCTAATAGGTGCAAAGTCGTGTATCTTTAGCCATCTTTAGCCTGTCCCAAGGGGGATGAATTACTTTTAAGAAGATCGATGAGGAAAATTAAAACTTGGAGCGTCTAAGGAGCGGCTTGTAATTAGAGTAACTATAAATAAAAATGGATTATCTTGTTAATTAAAAAATTAAACTTGGTATTTAAATTTGGAGAAATTTTTTCGGGGAGGAGTAAAAATTAGACGAGAAATTCGGTTTAATCGGTGTTCCGCACGATAGCGATCTCTTGGCTATGTTCCAGACTAAATTTTCTGTCTAAAAAAAAAAAAAGAAGAAGAAAAAGAAAAATCGAGACGAATGGTTCAGCTTTTCTAAATTTAGATCCATCCACCAATGATATTTATATTATTTCCATATCTTAAATCGTTTCATTTTTATTTTATTCAATGGTTCGGTTACAATATGATGAAATGATTATAAAAATTTTCTTTGTCATTATGACTTATTGCTAATTTATCAAAACATCTTTTTTCCCCGAATAAATATTTTTAAAAAGGAAAGAAATATCGACGAACGAAGAAATTTGAATTAAGGAATATTAATCATATCGTCAATTGATATACTTTCGTAATAAATGATTTGGTTTCACAGTTGGCACGAACGAGCGTCTATTTATGAATCTGCGTTTTATATACATAGGTTATGTTTTCAGTTGTTCCTCGGCATGAATATTTAATTTATTTCCACAATTGTGTCCGTGAATTGTTGTCCACGCTAGCTTGTTTCCATCGCGCAATATCAGATTTCATTGTTTAGTTTATTCAAAAGGTAGCAGTGTATCGTGTCTGTTGTATCCACTGTTATTCATGTCACTTATTCTTTTCAATATAATTGTTACGTTGTTTTGTGTATGCTCTACTAGCGCCCTCTTCGCACGAATGGCGCTGACAACAAATATCCCCCGATTTCTCGTTACCGAAAACTATCAAAAATATTTTGATAGTTTGGAATCTTTAATTTACTTCTATTGTATTTGTATTCATTTTTCGATGTAATTCGATGTAAAATCTAATTTTTTTTTTTTTTTTTTTTTTTT